TATATATATATATCGTGTCTCATAAAAATTATCAACTATAAGTCGAATGTCCCTATGATTTTTATTTTATGGTCGTCGCTTTGGAAACAGAGGCTTAACTTCAAGGCTAGCGACGTCTTACTCGAATCAACGGTATCATAAGAGACGCGACACAAGAACGGCTCATCTGCCATCCTCGAAGATGTAATTAAAGCTGTGACACTGATAATAACGCCAGTGTGGGATATCGTATTGCGGCCACGGAGCATTCGTATATCGCGTCGCCTTATCGATTATTAACGCTATCATACGCTACGATACGAGGGATAAAATAACTTAATCGGCACGTACGAAGGCGGTGTGAATTGCTGCGTCAAAAACGCGAGTAAATACTTGCGAAACGCTACATTATCGCACCGCAAACACGCGCTGCCGTTTTATATCTCTGCTCCCGTTATTCCGCCTCCTAACCAATTAATATTACCCGCATATTTACAAGTACATAACACGATTGGAGAAAACGAAATAGCACATCGTCTACTACATAAACAGTAAATTAAAACCTTCATTTCCTCGTCTACCGAAAGCGTGTTTCGCGCGAGGGAAGGCACTCGCGATTGCGACTAATTAATTCGTCCGGCGGCCTCCATTATCTATATTATCACGCTCGCATTTCATCATACGTAACTATATCCGCTCGCCGGACTACGTTACAATAACGAGTTTGCCGACGGGCAGAAATTCCCCGGGCGAAGTTCGCGACGGAGACTCCTCAGCGCGTGTGCACACACACCCTGTACTGTGCATAACCCTTTCTGCATGTAGGCAGACATGCGACGCGCCGCTAAGAGTGCGACGCACACATGACGCCGGCGATCATCCGATATTACGTCATCATTCGCCCCTCCGCCACGTGTCGCGCCGTACAGACAGCTACCGCCTCGCTCTGGCTCGCCCGCGATGTGCAATATCGCGCTGCGACGCGGTTCTGATGCGCATACGCGTGACGACGTGCCCCGTCGAGTTTCACGTGTCCGCGACGACGATCAGTGGCGATAGAGCGTGTCGAGAGAAACTGCTGTTACCCGGGCACGTTCTCGCTCAGATTCGTCGCGAGATACGCAAGTTATCGCGCTGATATATACTTTCTCGGATATACTCGGTATCTCGAAAATAAATTGTGTCGCCACCCGTCGCCGCCTCTGAGAGGCCCCGGGAAATTTCGAAGGGTGAGTCTGTGTGTGCATGTAGCCTGTGTGTCACGCTCGGTCGTTATTTGCGTTATTTCGAGTATTCTCGACCATTCTCGATATCTCGGGTACGACGGAACCGTATGTTCGTGCCGCGTCGCAGCCAGGTTGTACGTATTCCCCCACGCAAATCCCATGTGTTGTTCGGGATGCGTTTAACCTTCGGACGAGGTGCGAAGAGGCTGTGTTGTATGTGTGCGAGGGTGATTCTTCTCTCTCTTTTTTTTTTTAGAACAACGCGTGCGTGTGTGTGTGTGTACCAATATCGTTTTTTTTACCTGTGACTAATCGATCGATCGCGCGATCCCATCTCGCGTCGCGAAATTAACGCTCCGTAACAAAGCGGCCGGTGTTAAATAGAGCGGAACGTCCGTCGCGTAACCGTCGTTGTCGTGGCGACGATCGAACGCGCCGATAACGTACTTCCGTAACGCCCCGTTGCAAACCAGGATAACGCCACCGGTAGAGACGCGAGAGAGGAAGGCACGCCGGCGACGGTAATCGAACGATTGCGACACGATAAAAGAGATTTCGTCGCTACGTACGTACTCTCTCTCTCTCTCCGTGAAAATTAAGATGAAATAATTCGCATCGCAAGATGCCGCGTGTTCCTGAGGCGTTATTGACACTTCGCGAAACTCCGTCGGTACTTTATCCGCTCCCTCGTTGGAATCGGGGTTAGAGTCGTCGGGGCTGCACCGGTGCGCGATGAATCCCGTTGGTGTTCGAGCGTAAGTGGTGGTAACGTTGCGGTTACTTACTCACGGCGGCGGAACTTCCACGCAAACGTCCCGCCACGAGTGTCTGCTGGTGCTACTGCTGGGTCAGCTGTTTTCGGCACTAGTCGTTAGTCCATTCGTCGAACCTTGGCTCGATAACGCGACGCCGAAAACCGGGTCCTGGTGAGCCGAGGTCGAACACCGCCGGACAGCATCTCTCGCCGGGCGAGAATTAATGCTAATTCTAGTCATTTCGCACGTCGGCATCCACGGATGATTCGCATCTCGGATTCTCTTCGTTTTTGAACGGATTCGTCGGTGCATTCGCGGCGTGCCTCTCCTGCGTTCTTCTCGAAGTCCGTCGCAAATTAGGGCGTGCGAAAGTCTTCTCCGCTCGTGACTCCTCCTGTCCCTCCTTGGTTTTTCGCATGTACGTCACGTGTAACGGAACGCTCCCGTGTAACGGACGGATCGACGTTGCTTGCGACGTGTGCCGCTCGTCGACGCGTGTCGCTCCTGAAAAGTCAGCCGAAATTTGCCGGCTCCTATCGAGCGAGTCTCGTTTGTTCGCCGCGACGTCGTGAAATCCCAATGGTAACGTCGCTCGGACGTGCGTGGCATGCGATTCGCAGGCGCGGCCCGCCGCATTACGGTAGACCGTGGCTCGCGGCTTCCGATCTCTAAAATTTCGTTCCCGAGACCACCCAAGAATGCCGTGGGTTATGTCGCGCTCCCTCATGATTCGCGACGGTGTAAATACCAGTCTAAATTGTTTTTCGCTTTAATACGCGCGCGCCTCTCGTTCCCGTCCCAGTGCGGTCTCACTGTCACAAACATGTAAAATATCACATTTGGCACCTGGATTGTTTACAATATTGTCACGCATACGACGTTCGTTTTCGTGCGTTTCTGTAATGTATCATCAGTCGCGTATGTGATTCGCAACGGGCATCTTGATTCCAGCGTTATATCATCGGTATAATCTAATCGTGATATTTGTTCACCCCCCCCCGCCCCCCAGTTAAGCCAAAGCTGTATGGCAACAGCGTTTCAAAGATAAAAAGATGTCCAGGAAGCGTCCCAGGGAAGAAACTATGATAGCCGCCGCATCTCATCAGGACAGTGTCAATGGAGAAAGCGCGTCTTGTTCAAGGGAAGATTCTCCAGTACATGCTGTGAGTATCGACATTTATAAACGTCACGACAGATGGACGAATAAATAAAAGTTAAAAGTCGAAGTATCATTATTTCACGTCATTATTTTCATAGCCAACATTGCATATGTATGATGTTAATTAATCACTCCGATACGTATTCTTCCTAGCATACATGTTAGAATAATATAGAAATGTGTTACCAATATAGCTTACAAGTTATGCTAATCTATAGAATTTGTATCTTGTATAAGATTTATAGCTGCACAAGAAAAGGTAATTTGTCAATGTTCACTTCCTTATGAATAAGTATTACTCATGATAGGAAATTTCTTTATCGCATCACTATAAATAGGGAGCAGAGAATTATTTCTCTCAAGTGTATTGTTTTATTATATATAATTGTAGAATATACAATATATATGTAGTATGCAAAATGTATTTATAAACAGACACATATATACGTGGAATTTATTAATATCCTCAAGATTACTCAAAGGAGGCTAATCATCAGTATATAGAATGTATTGTCTATCACTGATATGTACTATATTGCCTTCAAATGATAATTGCCTGGCGTGATTCCAGATTAACTTATCTAATATGATAAAAGTTTAGAAATGCTCCTCCACTTCGACAGTCTTATTTAATTCCTCGAAGTGTTCACACTGGCACATATTTCAATATATTGAATTCAATTTAAAGTACATTATAATTTATAAATTTCCACACTATATTTATACGTTTTTTAAAATGTTAAATATGTGTGGGATTGTGTCAGTTCTATCTTTAAATATCAAGTGTCCTATACATTAGATTTTCTTATTTTAAAGTTAGTTACAATATTTAAAATATTTGAAAGATAAACTTCGACCTTGTAAACATATTGTCGAGTTGTGCAAAGAAAAATGACCTGGGGATCCAAACATAATTGTAATGAAAATAATGATGCGAGTTTGCTGTTTTTAAAAGATTATAATAATCAAGTTTCTATTTGCCATGCAAGACTTCCTGTAAGTTCTATTTATCTTATTCCTTTCTGTGTTGTGTAATATAATTTTTTTTAATAATAAATAATAAACACACATATTCTCCTCCTTTCCTCTCTCTTCCTTTCTTTCTTCCTCTGGTATTACATCAACGAAATGTACATGTGATAAGTAATTTCAAATATATAAAAATATATTTTTCTCATTTGTTTCAGTCTATCTGTAAGGAAGCCCCTTTCAGTGATGATGTAGAGGCGATCATAGAGAGAAATGCATGTGACTATAACATACGAATTACTCTAAAGCAAGCAAGGAGTGGTAAAGGTTTGTCTCGGATATATCTTGGTGTAGAATACATTAAATATTATATAGACATTCTTATGTATTGTGCTTCTGTTTCTTCTTAGTTCCTAGAAAAGTTAGAGTCTATGCCGATGGTATCTATGATCTCTTTCATCAAGGACATGCACGGCAACTTTTACAAGCTAAAAATATTTTTCCAAACGTATATCTCATTGTTGGAGGTAATTACTGCGAGAAAAATGTGATATTACTACTCTACAAATAGCTACGATGTAACGTTTTATTTTACAGTGTGTAACGATGAACTTACTCATAGCAAGAAAGGAAGAACTGTAATGACAGACTTAGAAAGGTACGATGCTGTTAGACATTGTAGATATGTAGACGAAGTCGTGCGAGATGCACCCTGGGAACTTGATGATGAATTTCTCGAGAAACATAAGGTACACTCATGATAAAAAGATGTACATACTTCTCTGTCTCTAAATCTGCATGACAAGACATTGCATTTTTCACAGTTGCTTTATGAAAATGATATGAACTATATATGTATGTATTTTAGATCGATTTTGTCGCTCATGATGACATACCTTACATGACAGATGATAGTTCAGATGTCTATGCGAAGTTAAAAGCTAAAGGTATGTTCGTAGCTACACAGAGAACGGAAGGAGTTTCTACTTCAGATATAGTTGCAAGAATAGTTAAAGACTATGACATATATGTCAGGAGAAATCTTGCACGAGGCTATAGTGCAAAGGAACTCAACGTTTCTTTTCTAAATGTAAGTGATCAACAATGTGCGATAAATGCCTGCACAATGTATTTATAACGTTATATATAGAGAGAAATGTGTACAATATTAGATATATTAGAATCATACTGAAAAGGAGAAGACAGTAGAACACAACAATTACAACAAGAATAATCTTGCAGGAGAAAAAATTCCGTCTACAAAACAAATTCGATGATCTGAAAGATAAAGGAAAACGAGTAATGGAAAACATTGGTGAGAAACGGATGGACATGATTAGCAAGTGGGAAGAGAAATCTCGCGATTTTATCGATGCTTTCCTTTTGCTCTTTGGAAGGGAAGGCAGATTGGTGCGTATATATGTTACATATATATGTAATTCTTTTTTTTTTTCCTAAACAGAATGCGTTAATAACTTTTATATTATACATTGAGTATTTTCTCAAACCATAAAGATTAGAAATGATTCCATCTGCAAAATTTTATTGTAAACATATGATAACCTCCTTTTTAATCACGAAACTTTGGTTTTGAACATTTTTCTTCATAATTTCGAAAATATTTCTCAAAAAAAGTACTAACAGAATTATATTGGTCTATTCTATAGTAATAAATCTATATATGTATACCATACGTGAGGGTATATCGAAAATTTTCATTGATATGTGTAGTCAACAATTTGGAATGAAAGTAAAGGTCGTTTGATGCAAGCACTATCTCCACCGGCAAGTCCAAAAAGAGATGGCAGTCCAAACAGTAGTAATAGTAGCAACAATGATGAAGATCAGACAAGGTACTTTTTAGAACCTTGTTGAACTTGCACATATTTCATCGAATTATCCTACATATATGTACATATATATCTCGTCTTACAGTCCACCACCAAAGAAGACCGGACGCTATGAATTTTCGCGCAATAATCATTACCTAAGTGATGATTATAGCGACGATGAAGAGGAAAACTTGCACTCTAAATGATAGCCGACTATATTAAAGAGGCGTACTCTGACCAAAAGTACTGTGCAATTTTTATTTACTATTTTGAAGTTTAGATGTATTTTCATACAGCTACATGATCTGGTGATGCGAAGTGCTGCGCTATGCTTAATAGATTTTGTATGGTATGATCTAATACTATACATTAAACGAAATTGTTCGTTGTGATGCGAATATTTAGTTTAATTACTGATTTTATTATTCAGATCACGATATACACTTCGTTTTAACACGGTTTGGGAATTTCTTTTTTCTCGATTTAATTTGGAACGCAGTTGATTGTCTATTGAAAGAATCTCTAAGAATTAATCAAAAACAAGTTCTCTCATTGAACAATCGTCTGCGTTTTAAATTGTATAACGAGAAAAAAAGTGTCCAAATCTTATTGAAACCAAGTGTACACGATGATATAGGCGATATACTGTAAAAATAATGCAATATGTTCGGTATTTCATTATTGTTATATTTTACAATATTCTTACACCGTTCCTATGTTCTATAAAAAGCAAATTTATTATTTTCGTTAAATTTGCTATTTCATCGTGATCATAATCGTCATCATAATATAAATCTTATTCGACATTTATAGATCCCTTTTTGAAGAATAAGTACAAAAGGCTTATTAAAACGGTATTCGTATTCATATCTATTGCAAAATACTAGCACAGGTATAGAAGTGCCAGATTAATTTTATACGATAAATTTCTTTTTTACCAAAAATTTTATAAAAATTGATCTTATTCGCATAAGCATTTCTTCTTAATCTTTGCAAATGCAAATTAAATTAATTTTAAGAAAGACACTTATAAATACAATTTTTATTTTAAATATGGAAAATCTAAGATGTACGAATCAGATACGTTTAGCCTCATAGAAGTTACAAAATTGTATTCTGTATTAAGTATTGTGCGTATAAAAAAAGAAGAAGTAAACACAAACATTTAGAAAGTCAGACGCTTATATAGAATCTGTTTTAGCACATATTAGACATTTAATAAAAGTTTACAACAAAACATGTTTACAAACGTATTATTTGTTAAACTTGTAAGTTTCTTTTGTGTGATATTTTATTGAAATGGCATTAAATTACCAGTTGCATTGTAGAAGTAATTAATGAAAGAGCTTAATGCGTGTGATGAATGTTCTTCGAGGAAATGTCGAAGATGTAACAGGAGAGGTCGCGCTAAAATTACGCTATAAAATATACTCCGCACTTATGGAGCATAATTTTAGTGTTAATATGTATTAGCGATGTAAGATCAGATTTGAGCTAAGACGGACGGATATCAAACTTCGGTGCAAAAGAGCTGTATACTTAACACACAGCAAGTTTCTCGTGATATGCCGATGCTGCCTCAGTTTGATATAGCGTGCATTTGATATTTATTGTTGATCAGAAAGTCCTAATCCCTAAAGTATTTTATGACCGATATAAAAATAAATGCTTTTTTTTCGCAAAGAAGTGTTACGGATAATACACGTTTTATAGCCATGTGTTCTTACACTTTTTAGATACGTAAATTGTTACATTACAGATTGCTTAGTATGCGAAATTAATTTTGTAGTGTCTGAGAGTGCATTTTGATACTATATTCAATACTAGAACAGATCTGTTACCACGATTGTAACTTCTTAATTAGACATATTTGTAGAATTTCTTTAAGAATTAAACGAATGTTTCTCTGTAAAATATTTATTTAAATTGTACGGCAGATACCAACACCGTGTAATAAGTGAGAGATTCATGTATATCATTAATTACATGTTATTATGTAATATAAGTTATTTATATGATTTAATCGAACATTCGTATTTTCCTACAACGAAGATGAATACATGTACGAGATTATATTCTTTAATATCATTGTATTATGATTTAACTCTGTATTTATATATACACGATGTATATGATTTACTATATTTATTCTCCGAATGGCAATAAAAGGCACTTTCTGTAAAACGACTGTTTATACTTTATGAAGATCGGTATAATTCGATATATGTATACCGTCTACTTCTCATTATATTATGGCATTTTGTATATTAAGTTAATAAAATGCGTTATAAAATGGAACAGGAGGCAATTGAATAATTGCAAAGTCAGTGGTAAGTTTCAATTGCAAAAAGTTGTTCATCTATCTTATTTTTACTGTTTTTTTTTTTCATTATTTTTCAAGACTATCATGATCTATTGTGAGCGAAATCCCGAAAAGTTTGATTCGCGGGCAGTCCTTCGTTTCGTCTTCACGTCGTGCACGTTCAAAATGAATTCAAGCAATAAAATCACCAGACGAATACTATCGTTTCGCGAATAGGGGATTTCTCGTCCGGGGGAAACCCGACGGCGAAATTTGAACGCGAAGCCCAGCGTAACGTCTGCACGGTACACGCAGCGCTAAATACGTCCTCGTGTTGGCTGTCAATAAGTCTGTTCGTTTTCGCCGCACCGCTGAAACAGTGCAATAAGTTGAAGTGAGAAAACATATACTTGTCTCGCTTCAACATATTGCACTAGCCAGCGGTGCAGCGAAAACGAACAGACCTAATATTATTGCGATTTAAAAACGTACCCGGGAATTCGACATTCGGCGTTTCTCGCGAGGACTGGAGGATTGGAAGTTTAAAAACACCGGTGATTATCGCACGACGCATGGTCGTGTCGAAGTGTAACACGTCCGCCTCGAAGGTACCTTACCGAAGGAATGAAAATTCAAGCGCGAGAGCCACGTTTTGGCGTCGACTGTACGACTGTTCGCGAACTCTCAACGGTTCGGAGCAGGCCTGTCGTTGGCGCACGCCTCGGCACGTCGCGTTCGCGCATGCGGGGGAAAAAGGCGGGCGCGAAGGTGCGAGAGAGAGAGGGAGAGAAAGGAAGAAAGAGAGAGAGAGAGAGAGAGAGCAATGCGAGTATTCGAAACCCACCAGCAAATTCGTTGGGTATAGCACGACGGAGCACGAATAGGACAAAGCGTCCGCGAAGGTAACCGTGATGGTGCCGCTGGCGGAGCTGGTGGTATTGTTACCGATACTATTGGCTGGTGTTGTTGCACTTGACGACGGGTTGAGAAGTAAGTGCGACTCGACGATGCGTGTACCGCGTATATTCGGCGATATTCAGGCTGGATTCGCGCATGGTGACAACGTTCGTGTTTGCGAGAGAATTTAAATGCTCGACGGAGTGCACGCATCATACGCGCGAGTGTGTCGTTGTGCATTACTGACGAGAGGGACACACGCTCGTAGGGAAACTCCGCGCACAAAGGAGAGAGAGCGGGCCGATGTTGTAACGCACGTGCCAAAATGGATGAGCAAAACGGCGGTATCGGCGATATAAATAGTGCGGCGGTGGCTAAAGGTAAGAGCGCGGAATATGTCAACGTTAATCATCCGCGGTAGGCATCGTAGGACGGAACCGACGATGTGTTGCCGCGGGCTCGCTCGCTTGATCGATCGCACGTGGGACTTTTCACCTGCTTCGAGAAACGCGGAGAATCTTCGTAACTCGTGAAAAATATCGCCACGAAAAGATAATGCAAGATCCGCCTAACCCTACTCCGATTAACCCTACTTCCTTCCTCATCTTGTGCTCCCTCTCTCTCTCTATCTATCTCGCTCATTCTCTCTACCTCGCTCGCTCGCTCACTCTCGTGCGACTCACTTCGATGATCGCATCGTGCGTATTTGTCGCCGTTTTTTTTTCGCACACGTGACTAGATTCGCCGTGTTAGTTGGTTTACGATACCTGAAGCTCTTACTTCCCTTAAACGCTAATTAGGTCTTTACCGGCGTGCAAAACCGAAGGGAGACATGAGTAAGTGCCTTTTGCGATTCTTCTCCTAAATACGGCCTTGATTTATTCTCCAAAATTACGTCAGAGACGAACGGTTTCTCCGCCGATGGGTGTCGTTATAAGAAGCCTTGAGATTTACAATAATTTCGCACCTCGGCTCCTAAAACGTCCGTCTATTTATCTACTCTCTGTCTCCCTTTGTCTCTCTCTTTCTAGGTATTTCTCGCTCTCTCGTTCTCGTTCTCTCGCTTCTCCCTATCTCTCCCCTCTCTTCTCTTTCCTCCCTCTCACTCTCTCTCTCTCTCTCTCTCGTGCTTTTCGCCAGTTAATTATCTCACGCTGAGCACGTGAATCGTGCGTACAGATGTATACATGTACACAGGACTTCCCGTTGTCTACGAATGATACGAAATAGAGCCGCATACTTCGTACAACACGTTTAAATTTTGCCGGAATGCTGACACAGCTAAAAATAGCATTTTACTGACAAATCTTCCTGCTAGCTGGTGGAAACTTAGTTACTTTCTTCGTTTAATAATAGCAATGTCTTGCAATTGTTATATGTTAGTGAAATCAGCACCTTATTGTGGGATGTTTATTCGCCCCTCCTTCTCTCCTTCTCACAGCTGTTTTGGTAACAGACGATAGCGATAATGTTTTTTGTGTATAGATACTAAGAGTTAGAATATTAAACTTGATATTTCGTAATATACGTATTAATATTTTAAGGTGCGAATTTTTGCATAGCAATGTATGCTTAGCAGTTTTAATATTGCGGCACCCGGGAGATACCAAATTTCCAAGATAATCTATCGGCTCGCGTTATCTTCGAGAAAATATAAAATAGTGTTATCACCTGCTTTTATCACTGCTGCCACTCATTATCTGAAATTGCAGCAAGGTCAGAATAATTTGCTGACTTTACCTTCATTTCTCGGCATATATTCTTACCACTATTGCGCATCACCACTTTTGCGCATATACTTCCCAAATAGTCATAAGCAGATTAGATATTCTAATTTACTTTGATTAAGGACTACTGCATAAAATTGGCCACTGTGAAATTGAAAAATTGAAATTGAAGTGTTATCAAGTTCGCATATTTCTCTTATATATTGTGAAAATTACCGTTCACGAGAGACGTTCTTATCTTGTCATGTAAATATACGTCAGCAACACAAACAACTATGATATCGTCAGTGTGTTCTGACATATTAGAAGTTTTCCGTTAATAAAATTGACACAAAAGTCGATTTATATATGCGCTTGATTAAGTAACACAATCAAATTTATACTTAAAATGTATTTATGTATAGCCTTAATTATACCACGCAAGAAGAGAATATGCTTAGTTGGCACAGCCTGCAATGACCCTGCACTTGGTCATGCTGCTCTGCAGTTTAAAGTATCTGTACTCAAGTCAGAAACCGGAACAGAATATGTCGAAGACACTAGTTACAACACTTATTTTGTACTCAAGCAGTTTGAAGGACCTGAGTTTGATGCCTTGTGCAAGAGTGCTCATAGGTTTGTACACATAATAGTGTATCGGACTCCTGTAAATTGTACAATTAAGGCACAATGTATTCTGAGCTCGAGTATACGGTCGAGTATACGGTCATGGTATACAAAAAAAAAACATTAGAAAAATTGAACAATCACATTCGATTATTCTCGGACTGCAAGACTGGTCAGTTCGCTTAATACTTGTGTCTTACCATTCATATTTTCGTGTATACCATAATATGAAGAGGAAACAGAACATTTTGTTGATGCTATCTGCTTTGTTTCCTCTTGATTAGAATACTGGGACCCACGGCTCTGCTGCAACTGGCAGAGAAGAAAGATTCTCTGCCTAGTATCAAACGACCATTATACACACAAGCTATGGTAGGCACGGTAGTGGTGTTCAGCGGATTTCGAGCTAAAGAGGATGAACTGGTGAGTCCATTGTTTATATCTGTAACTCTTGTGATATTGTTAAACTCGGTTAACGTGTGTACGTGTGTTCAATCACATCTCATGTACTTATCACGTCTCATATACTTATGATATAATCATTTCTTCTCCAATAGCGCAAATTAGCTAATATGATTCTTAGTATGGGAGGTAGTATCCGTAAAGAGATGGGTATGAAGGTGACGCATCTCATTGCAAACCATTGCAGTGGAGAGAAGTATAGATATGCCGACACATTTGGATTGCCTATTATGTCAGTAGAGTGGGTGATAGCATTATGGAATGCCAAAGATGATGTTTCCAGTCGTGCGAATGCATTAGTAAATATCCCTGAATATAAAATAATTATATTTAAAATTATATTAGTCGTTGTGTTAATATATTATGGCGCATATGTGCATTTTTTTTTTTTTTTTATAATGTTGTATTTAATTGTGATTGCAGATAACAACATATAAGCTAAAGCCATTTTATGGAGCAAAAGTGTGTTTTTTTGGTTTTCCCGAAGAAGAGAAGAAACATATGTGTGAAGTTCTGGAGCAACAAGGTGGTGAACCTACTGAAATAGATGATCCAAATTGCACTCATGTGGTGAGTCGACAGTATGATTTTTCATTTGCGTCTCTCTTTTTGCTTTCATTTCTCTTATAATTTGCACCTATATTAACTATGAATGAACTTTTAACGTTATTCGTAATTTCCGCACATAAATATATCATGTCGTTATACGGATATATTGGATTTATATGTCGCGATTATGAAGTTGTCATATTTATTTTTTACATTAAATAAATAACACATGCTCTAGGTGGTAGACGTAGCGGGTCCTTTCTACAAGAAATCCAACACGATCAACAACAAGTCGTCATATTTCAAAAATCCACCCAATCTCAGTCCATTTTGCTTAACGCGCTTCAAAGTTTCCTCTCCTTTTTATGATCCTTATTCCAATTCGTTTTTTATTCCGGTACAAACACGTACTAAGTTCAATGTCATATCAAGCGGTGCGGAAAGTGCAGATTTTATAGAAACACAAAATTACTATTTTTCATCAAAGAGTATTTCATTTATATCGCAAATGCTTGATATAGACGATATTAAAAGGGCTGATCTCATGCTTAACAGTATCAACCAAGATTTTGCTACTCACGACAGCATGAACGATAATCGCTCTGACTTGCAAAATTTAACCATTAAATCTTGCGATATGCTTCATCATTTTGCAGAGCAAAATGATTCTGGTATAGATGTAAACAAGTCGTCTAATCTATCCGATGTTTCTTCTATGTCAGATAAATGCTCAAGTTCGACATCAATGGTGATAAGCGATAAAAGGATTAAGTTCAGCATTTCCGAAAGTTCTTTATTCGGCAACAATCATTCTCTCTGTGAGATTACGTCAAACTTTCCAACAAAATCAGATGATCTGAAGCATTCTAAGTCTTTTGAGAAAAATAATGCACACAGCGTTTCCGTATCACTGATGAATAATAACGCGCCGTCCCTGAAATATCGTAAAAATATTCACTACATACAGAATAACACGTCGACTAAAAGAATCTTAACCCCAAAACGATACGTAAAGTGGAGAAAAACTAATTCTTGTACGTCTGTTCATAAAATGGCGACACTTGAAAAATACAAGTTCATGAAGACGCGTTCGTATCCGAACATATCGAAACATTGCGAAGAACAATATAGCGATACGTTCTTACATAACGCATCAGGCGAGAAGAAGAAATATTTGTCTAAATCATACACATCCATTTTCTCAAAGATCAGTCATTTCTCTATTTGCTCGACGTTTCCCATTAACAAACAAGATATTTTCAACGACTCATATTATCCGCCTCCCGAGAAAACTGTGTTCAAAAAGAAATACACATCCCTATCCAAGTCTTTTCCAATACCTACAAAGATTTCAAACACTAAACACTTAAGGAATACTTTTACACCTAATGGGAAAAATTGCAATGCCGCATCAGACGATACGAAAATTGACTGCATAGATTTGAGAACACAGGACAAATCATTGCTCGCGGTATTTTTGTTTTATTTTTTTTTTTTTACAGAGTATTATGTACGGTGTGTGTTAATTCTCTTCAAGTTATGTACGGTGTGCGTTCATTTTCTTCAAGTTAAACAGATGCTCAACACATTGCGTACGGTCTTGTTCTTCCTGTCTAATCTGATCCGTATATTATTTTATATACACGTATCAACTCTACTTTTCTTTGTACTTTGACACGCATTCGTTTCTACATTTATCATCTGCATGAAATTATAAGGAAATCTTGCGAACGAGAAGGTCGTGACCTGACCGTAGTGCATGTTTTCCTAAACATGAGATATCTTGTGAGCAATGTGTTAGCATACAAAGAAACTTATCTTTGTCTCTCTCTCTCTCTCTTTTTTTTTTTTGGAATAAAATATAACTTGATATAACTGTTTAATCTGTGTTTTGACCGAATGTATTACACACACACACATATATATATATATATATATATATATATAAGTATTAAGATAAAAAAATTTATTTACTAAATTATAAATACGTGTAACAGATATGATAGATATAATAAGAGATATAATCTGGTATAATAAGAAATCCTACACATGTTTATTTAGAAAATATTCGTGTATATAGAATATTAATATTTACAGCATGTACATATAATTGTCCTGTCCTGTTGTCTACTGTCTGGTGGAGATAATAATGTAATGTAACTTAAGAGCAGAAATAATAAAATAATAATACTATAATTTATGCTGATTATTACAGGTTGTAGATGAGTCCAATGTAAATGTACTGCCAAACTTGGGTGCGGTCTCAGCTTTCATAGTCAAAACTGGATGGTTCTGGACATCTGTACAAAATGAGGCAGCGGCCGATGAGAAAGACTATTTGTTTGAACACGTAAATTAAAACAATATAATAGTAATACTAATGATATAATTTATTCAATACTGTAATTACTGTTTTGTTTATAGTATCTAGAGACAGTTCTGTCCCCTAGTGCGTCTGGCAGACGAGACAGTCAACAAATTGCAGGACAGAGTGTAGCGTTACCAAAGCATCCCTACTGGTTAGGTGCTCCATTATCTAATTTGTTGCAGAATGGGGCGGATTCACCGGCAAGTGTCAGTGGAAGCTTCCTAGATTGTACGGCGAGTCCTGACAAACAATTGTTGGACGGTATGCTAGTTCTGATAAGTATACTTTAGAATATATATATTTGTTAATAGCTACATACAATTATATAACTTTTATATACATATTATCATAACATTATTATATACGTTATCACACAAATACATTATAACGTTGTCATAATTATGCATAATGTACATTCATAACACACAGTACATAGACAATAATATTTCATCAAATGTATGTTAATTCACATTTACAACAAAATAATACATAATAAAACAGATAACACGTTACAATTTTAATATCACATCAGTAAATTTGTCATCTTCCTTTCCATCGTGGATCACTAGACATGTGGTGTTGAGAGTACTGACTATAAATTCTTTATTTTCATCGTAACAAAACAAACATATCTTATCCTCTCTTGAGCTTAATACATAATAAAGAATTTAAAGATCTCATGATTGTGAAAGTAATCGATTAACTTCTAATTATTAAAATATCTAAAGATAAACCATGTGAAAGGGAAGATGGTATTGAAATTATTTATTGTTAACTAGCAAATATTCCAGAGGTAGAAGCTATCGATATAAAAAAGGCTAGGGGAAACTTGTCGAAACGTCATCAAGTTTTCCTTGAATTAGTAGAGACTGAATCCAATTATGTGGGTATTCTTAACACAATTATGACGGTAAGGAAATATTGTGTATTTATATATTATTTTATATATATACTAGAGAACAATACACAACACATGAGACGCGCACGCTACTTGGTTAATTACTGTTATACGGAAAAAATCTCAGTTCGTGGAACTAAATAAGTGCCAGACTAAAATTCGTTGAGAAATTGATATATCTGTTGCTGACAAAACGCATAACGTACGCAACGACACTTACCAAACCGGTTATTGTCGGTAAACCTGCACGGAATTCAATCCCAGCATCGCAGAAAAGAGGCTCCAACATTTCAATGCATTCGAGATATTTGATAACACGCTTTTTTCTTGAAAAAGACGCAGGGAAGACCAAAACCATTGTATTTTTCAGTATTTTCTTTGCCCTGGTCGCTCTGATCCATCCTGTATATATAAATATAAATATATGTTAAATATCTAATATATATGTTAAACTATGGAAATAAATTAGTATCGACATTTCTCAACATTTCATAATAATCTATACTTTTGTTATTACAGCTGTTTAAGTTACCACTAGAGAATCTTATCGGGAAGAGTGGGAAAGAATTATTAAATAGTACAGAGGCCAGAATAATATTTGGAAATTTTCCACCCATCTATGACGTTCATAAACAATTGTTAGAGTCACTGCGTTACAGTGCCACACATTGGACAGAGGACATCAGTATCGGCAAGATATTCCTCAAGTTTGAGCCAGATTTGGTTAAAGCGTACCCGCCATATGTTAACTTCTTCGAGAATACAAAACAAATGTTGGACCAATGTGATCAAAACAAACCACGATTCCATGCCTTTTTGAAAAACTGTCAGACGATACCGGAATGTGGTAGACAAAGCTTGAAAGAGCTGTTAATTAAACCAGTACAAAGGTTACCCAGTATTAATTTATTATTAAACGGTAAGACAAATCTCCGATTAATAACAAATGCCTTTTGTTATTATTTGTCTAAACAAATTCGCGGACATCGCTAAAATGCTTTTGTGTTTCTTAAACAGATATTCTTAAGCATACCGACAAAAGTAATCCAGATTATAGCGCATTGGAAGCTTCTATTAGCTGTATTAAGAATGTCATGACGTACATAAATGAAGACAAAAGGAAAACGGAGCGCCAGTTAGCAATGTTCGATATCTTCAATGAGATTGATAATTGCCCACCGCATTTAGTTTCCTCGCACAGATCATTCGTTGCCAAATGTGACGTAATGGAACTTACAGAAGGTCTCAGTGGACGAGGTGATCATTTGGTATTGTTTCTATTTACCGATACTCTCGAAGTATGCAAGAAAAGGTCGAAAGCTTTTAACTCGATGAAAAGTCCCAACACGATGAACGGCTTGCAGTCGAGCAAATTAAGTCAAGGAAAGCCGTACAAACATATAAAACTACTATCGTTAAATACTATACGGAAAGTCGTGGACATTCGGGAAACAGAAGGTGGGTAAATACGGCATAAATCGCATAAATGTAGGCGATTTTTTTACTTATTACATTTTTTATTTAATTTTTGTTCGTTTACCTATTACTTTCTCAGAATGTCACAAAGTGTTTGCGCTTGTGGTGCGAAGTAATCAAGAATTAAAGGAAAAGTTGTTCTCATTCGTGATCACCGATGAAGAAGTGAACAAAACAAATTATTTGCGGACTTTGTGCAGACAAATGGCCATCGCTATTTGCGTAGCTGACGCGGTATTTATCATATAAATATAGCCGATATAAGTTTTGATATTGAACTTTACAATATCAAAGCATTTTATCTTAATTTTGATCCTATTGTTAATTGGTATATTCCATACTTTTTATCCATCAGGACACGCTACTCATCAGCCACGATTCACATCAGTTTGAAATTGATACCAGCGATATAGCGTCGGGAACATTAAAGAAAACAATTAAGTAAGTAACTGTATATTGTCATTAATTGTTTCTAATATTTTTAACACTTATTGTATTATTTATTATTTTATATCGTTATCTCAATTTTTTTTGCGTCGGAATCACACTTTCCACATGTTGCACGATTTACAAGTCAAAATCGTTGAACACGTCTCAAATGTGTACATTTTTATTCCCTCTGAGCGTTAACTTAAATAGACGTATATGTCGATTAAGTACCAACGCAAAGGGTTAATATTATACAGAGTGCTTGACAATTTCCGTCTTGTGCAGTTAGAGCGCATTGAACTGAACAGGAAAGTTCTATTTATCATTTTGCTAACTTCGTTACTCTGTCTTGGTAATTATTGAGAACTTGTGTAGGAAATCGTGGAAGCGTGCGATTCTAACATTTCCCGCACACTCATTTCCTGATGTTCTTTAATTAATTCGTTGATAACTATATTGCAGTCTGCAAAAAGGTGGAAGATTTTTTTGGTTCAGTTTAATATGCTCTTTATCAGCACACGAACGTTGATACGATAATTGTCAGACACTTTGTACACAAATAGCGTTTGAATATATTTTTAAAAGGTTGATCTATATCGTAAGATCAGTCGTAAGCGATTGCTTCTGATCTATATCGTAATATCAGTCGTAAGCGAACGTTTGTCACGCTCATCGTGAAAATTGATTCAACTTTAACTTTTATGATCATACACAAATATCTTTAATAATGTTTTCGACGATACGTTGTGATTTATAAACAAACGATGTTTGAGACAATGTTTCTAAACGACTATAATTAGTATTACGATAAATGTATAGATGAACCTTAAGACATCAATGTCATTTATTCTAATATCTCACTTTTTTTTGCATGTTAGGGCCTGTTTCACAACATTAGTCGTCTTATCTGTGGACTTAGTTGAACTATGTTGTACACGTGGTGAAAATTAAATTTTTTTTTCTATAATTTGTAATTGGTTAGTTTACTATCATATTCCGTTGTGACCATTAATAAAAAAATTTAGAAGGAGACCACATTTGTAAAATATAAGTTGTCGTTCAAATATAAACGAGATTTTTTAGGCTTCCGGTTCGATGGATATAACGTCAGAAAAATCTACAAGATATGTATTTTTATATAGATTCTTTTTTTTTTTTTCATATCAAATCGCGTTATTAATAGTGCCTGAATTGTAGTGTATTGATCATAACTTTCATTATATGAATTCGCATGTTGTTCTGGAGACTGAAATACAGACATCTTCTTATGAAATTGTTTCAATGTTCATCACATTTATTGTTTTGACATGACGTATTTAACATCGAAAATGGTCCGGCATAAAACCGAAACGTTTAAACTAATGAATGTTGAAATCCCAACTATTCTAAATTTCTGCTGAGCTATATTGTGTTCATTTTTATTACGCTATTCTGTGCATAGATTCTTATTGATCCTTTTTTCTCCTTTGTTTTATCGAATATCAAGAGCAGTTTCATGTACCTCATGCGCGTTTATTGTTTCATGTTCGATGAACCGAATAAACGGAGTCAATCATATTAGTCTTGAGGCTTTCGCGGCCATTGGTACAATCCACTTGCGTTGCTTGCGGAGGTGTGCCGCGTTTTAAATCAGCGTTCTGCCAACATTTCGCAAACATTGCAGTTTGCATCATCAGGGCTTGGAGCTCTGATACTGAGCTCTCTTGGATATTGGTTGTCTTTATATACTCCTTTATCTCTAGGAGGAGGGGAGGGGAAAAAAGGGAGAGTTGATCAGTTGGTCAATTAAGAAACACGCCGATTGGCTGGAACCAACTCCCCCTTTTTTCCCCTTCCCTCCTCCTAAGGATAAAAGAGTATATGAAGACAACCAATATCCAAGAGAGCTCAGTATCAGAGCTCCAAGCCTTGATGATGCAAACTGCAATGTTTGCGAAACGTTGGCAGAACGCTGATTTAAAACGCGGCCTACACCTCCGGAAGCAACACAAGGATTGGAGTCAATCATATTGAAAAAAAATCGTAATTATATTTTATACGTAATTTGATGGAACTTGGTAATACTTGGTAGTGTGTCGATCACCGATAACTGTCACGGCATTCGACGTATAATGAATATATAAAAGCATGCATCGTTGATATTTGTACGAACACTTGTAGAGGATGCGGTTACATCTCTATAAGCATAAAATCAAAATATTCACTACTGTACATATTATATTATATTGCATGATGTAGAAAAATAATGGGACAACAACCGTTTGGTTACAGGAGCCTATTTCATAATTTTTACCTGGAGTATATGGACCCGTATGTGTTCCTACTCAATAGCATGTGTGAAACTACGTTACATGTCCCACTACCGTTAGTTTTCGCACCAGGCTGATTATATTTTTTTACTTGCTTCTTTTACCTTCCTCGCTTCTAGTTTTATGCTTGGTGGATGAATATAATTATTGAGAGATAATTGCAGTCAATTGTCCATAACCAGTTCAAGCATGATATGAACTATGAGCTCTATCTATTAATTTTTTCTAGAGACGCAACTTTTTTTTCAGGGAGAGAATTGCTCTGCAAACCAATTTGGGATATGTTATATATTTTTTGTATTAGGTTGGTAAGAAAGTTATGTCGTTTTTCTGTTGCTCCAATTGAAAGTCCATTATTTCATTGTTCTTTGTGCGATTTAGACAATTTTGGTATCAATCGAAAGCTAGTAGTTCCGTTTTGATTTTTGATATTACAGGTGTTTTTTAATCATTAAATTTTGAGAAATAGGGGTATATGATGGATCAAGAAAAACTTCATTTTAGGCACTCTGTGCTTTATGAGTTCCAACTTGGTCATAATGCGACGGAAGCTCATAAAAATTTGTGTTTCGTCTTTGGACCATCTAAAGTTAAAGTGCGTACGGTCCAAAGATGGTTTGAAAAATTCAGGTCAGGTGACATGAAGCTTCAAGATGAACCTCGCACCGGAAGACCAAAGGAGCTTGATAACGACGTTCTGAGGGCTTTAGTGGGTAATGAACCACTATTGACTACGAGGGAGATCGGGGATAAGTTAAACGTTAGTCACATAACAATTGAAAATCACTTGAACAAACTTGGCTTTGTCTACAAATAGTTTCGTTGGATTCCCCGTGAATTAAGCGAAAAAAATATGGCAGATCGAATTTCTATTGCTTCTTCTTTGCTTGCTCGACAACAATATGAGCCATTCTTGGATCGCCTGGTTACTGATGACGAAAAGTGGATTGTGTATGACAATGTAGTGAGGAAAAGAGCCAAGATAATGCCAAGCAGTTCGCCTCCTACCCTTGCGAAGGCCAATTTGCAACAAAAAAAGCTAATGCTTTGCATTTAGTGGGATTATCGAGGTCCTATCCACTGGGAACTGTTGCAACCAGATCAAACTGTCACAGCAGACCTATATTGTGATCAGCTAACCCGACTGAGTACAAAAATACGTGAACTTCGTCCAGCACTGTATAACCGAAAAGGTGTTGTCTTCCAACATGACAATGCCAGGTCTCACGTGGCTTTAAGGACGAAGGAGAAACTCCAGGCTCTTGGTTATGATGTTTTATCACATCTACCATACTCACCTGACCTAGCACCATCTGACTACCACTTGTTCCTCTCGATGCAAAATTTTTTTAAAGGAAAAAAATTTCGAAACTTTCAGGATGTTCAGAGGGCAGTGGTAGATTTCCTGGCTTCAAAGGATAGGATCTTTGATACATCCGGCATAAATGACTTTATTGACAAATGGAGGAAAGTCATAGAAAACAGTGGTTAATATTTCATTAAATAATCTCACTTATGAGCTTAAATATAAGAAATTGAAATTTCCTCAAAAAAAAAACGACATAACTTTCTTACCAACCTAATATATTATATATATGTATAACATGTACAATGTGTGTATCTTGTTATACACTGCAATTTTTTTCTTTTTTTTTTGTATGGTGATTTTGTAGTTTGCCATAATTAACATGAAAAAGTATTATTTTGCATCGTGATTTAATTTTCGACTTGATCGTATTTTATTTTAGTTCAAGAGCTACTTGTTAGTAACGTTTTGTATTTTGATTTGATTTTCTATTCATATAACACGTCTCAGGTATTTACATTTTTTTTCCTTCAGTGTCGCATTTTTCAATGTGCAGCCGTGGTGCAGTTGCTACCGTCTCCAATTATTGCATATGATCAGACATGTTTTATTATGCTACATGAAATTTGTGCACGTATAAAAAATTGTATATTCTTTCTACCCTAATAAGTATTATTCTGCCTGCTTGAGCTGGTTTTCCTGACATGAGTTTTAATGTTTGTGGATTTGTCGCACGTTCCCTTTGTTTGTAAAATATTTTTCCCTCCTAATGAAAAGATTCCAACTTTTACCGTATAAAAGAAAGATGTAATTTTAAAAGATTTTGACAAAGATCAAAGTATAAAGTTACAAATATTAACTTGAATAGGAGAGAAAAATATTTTAGATTGCGTTTAAATGTCACAGTCATATATTGACAAATTTGTGAAGTGAATTTTCTTCCCTCAGGTTCGCATCTCGTACAAGAGCGAGAGTTGGCCGAGCTTTTAGTTTCAATAAAACTCCAAGCAAATTAAATAGAGCGATGTCTACAATTATGTCGCCGTTTGGGGTGCCGCAAAATCTTGCACCAACGAGTCAACAGAGAAATCAGATGCGGCTAGGTAGCTGCAGCAATATCAATGTTAGTTGACCATTTTTCTCGCATATCTTTCTTGCCTATGCTTATCTTTTATCATTTCTACTCACGTATTTTTTTGTCACGACAGAAAGTATTGTAACTTTTCCATTGATTTTATCTTAACATGCTTCATACATGTGAAAAGGGTTGTGAGAGAAACTTAATTTAGAGGTACACTGCAATTTATTATAAGATTTTTTTTTCATACCTTTTTTCTGCACTTAACTCCTCTATTAGATCTCTTTCTTTTTTTCTATTCTTGATATAATTTACACCGTACAAGAGATATTAAGTTAAAAACGAAAATAATATCTTTTCTATATATATATTCTATAATATAATTAAAATAATTAAAATCTTCTCATTAGTATACACCATATTTTTACATTGTCATGTAACAAATATATGAGTTTCTCAGAACCCAAACTGGTCGATTTTATTTTTTGTAAATTTCTCAATTTTAATACCAGAGCACATGGTCAGTGCTTGCATTTAAAATTAAAAAATTGACAAGAGTGAAATTGATTAGTGTGGTTTTCGAAAAGCTCGTATATTAATAGTTAGCTAAACATTAATTTACTTTTCATTGTTTTTATTAAAGAAATATCTCACATATTCTCAAATTATTCTAAAACTTTGTATTCTATTTTGCTATTTATTTTCAACACTTTCGAATTGCTCGGATTTTTATTCTTATCTTCATTGGAATGAACAAACACCTTAATATAATAATTATAATAAATTTGCACGCTGTTTCAAAATCAATGGATAAAGGTGTATTAGGGATCACGTAAGTACCGTAACATAAAATAAAATCTAATAGATATCAAATAAAACAAAGCTACTTTACTAGAAATTTTTATCTTTACAAAATATTAACGAGTTGATGATGCCAGATTGTTGAATTTAAGCTTTTGAGCTTATAAGACAATTTTTCAGTTGACTTAATAAAGAGATAAATTAGAACGATACATTTATATACATATATATTCTCCTTCCGCTAAAATAAAATTCTAACAAGTATATAAGTATATCTAAGAAGAATATCTTCTAATTAATAAATATTACAGTTATACATTTTTCATGGCAATTAAGTTATAGGTTTATATCCTTTTGTGTGTCAATTTTTAACTTACTAATATATCATTTCCCTCGCTTTCTGATATTTATCTGCTAAAACTTTAATTCTTTCTTCTGTTACATTTATCTTATTACTTCTTTATTGTTTTCGTTCCTGTCAATAAGAGACATATATTGTCTTTAAGGCATTTAAGTATTTTACATTGTATTTATTGTCTTCAAAACATTTATTGTCTTTCACCTATAAAGAAATAAGTGAGTTGAAAGAAAAGGTATTAAGTTTCCGATATCTTTCTAGGAACTGGATAATGATGGTTCAAGTTCTCCAACTAGAGACGACGTTATTGTAGCGCCGATGTCGGATCAACCTACTCGAAAGGCTCTCAGTATGGCTTCGCTGCGAAGGTTGTAATTAGTATGCAAAGAAGTCATATTTTCTTTCTTGCTACAGTCGTATAGTATTCTGACAAAGAGACGTGCATTTTTAACAAACTACTGTGGTATGTTAAACTAATATAAATATATATATATATACATAGTCTATACATATTGACATATATAAAGATGTTAATTATGGCTAAAGCAAGACAGTCTCGAGGACGCAGCATAACATTTCTGCCGTTATAATTCCGAGTAATCGCAATCGTTCAGTTCTCTTTTTTTTCCCCCACGAAAAAATTCAATACAATTTTCCGAATAACGTCTTGTGTCCTTGAATGCATCATCATAAAAAATGATATTATTGTTGTTAGTGCCAATAATACCTAGTTATTATTGTTGCATAACTATTATTAACATTTTTATTTATTTTATATATATAATATTACCTTGTAATTATTGTACATGTCTATTATTAGTTTTACGCACACGCTCGCCGGTAAGATGATGTACGATTTCCTTTTACTGTCTCACATCTCCATCTAATATCGGATATTAGACGGACGAGAATTGTTGTAATATAACGGACTATTGTCGCTTGATAGAGACTACACTAGCACCTCGTCGAGTCGATTCAGTTACTTCGTTAGGCATCGTTAGATATCGTAGCGAATGAGGGGTTATTTGTTCACGTGTTTCCTAATTGTTACTCGAAGAAACGAAACTGACGAACTGCGCGCAAAGTGTACATATATACGCTTTATACGTTAGGAAAAACAAACGGCGTTATTCATTATATTTCGTTTAAATCTCCGATTCGTCTTTGACGAATTAACCGCAGAAACAACGGTGGCCCGAACTGATCCAGGCATCGTTCAGGCAAGGACTAATTAATGTGTCCCAGCGCACTTACAATCCCCGATGTCTTCTCTAATACGCAAAGAGAGAACACTTATTCCTTTAAAAATGGATTCAGCAAGTATGCTTACGTCTAGTCGCAGCATGGAAGAAAACATAGATCGCTATCCAGTTGATGGTTCTTGTTCTTTTCTTTTTTTTTTTTTCTTTCTATGCTACTGACATCCGAGATTTGTGCAATTTTACCGTTTCACTATCTTTGTTTCTGTTCTTCTATTCATTAGAATTTCTTCTGCGGAGGTCGTATAGAGTAGGTCCGATTTTCGAACAGCAAAATTATTACGTGCTACTACCGCTTCATCTTTAATTGTTATCGATAATTCATCCGGGGATGCGGGTCCATTCACGAAGCTGATAAGTCCAAGCACTTTATCGCAGATAGAATTAGGTTTCCGAGGAAAACTCGGTGCCTTGGTGCACTATGTGGAAAATATTCAATAGTCCAAAACCTGAGTAAATGATTTTAATAATTTGTTATACTTGCCAATATGTGCCAATGCGTATGTACCATGTACATTCAATGACGAAACTGTCCACACATCGCCGATTGCTACGAAACAAAATGGTTCATTCTGACAATACTGTGATCTTCAGTGACTTCCGATTCTCGATCGGTCCGGTTTATCACAGGGTGATAATTTATTATTATTTTACATCTCGACAACATTTGACGCGAAAATTGCAAGAATAGCCGAGAATAAAATTCCGTGATTTTGCAGTATCGATAGGGAAACGAAACGAAAATATAGACGGATTTGCGAAATCTTTTTTACAAGTATTTGTTAGTTATCCCGCGTACGCGGTGGAAGAAGTTGGAGAATTTCCGGTGTCAGATGTGATCGTTAGAAATTGTCTGGAACAAAGATAAACACACACCGCTTCCTTCCGAATAATTAATTATATAATGACAATGAGAAAAATATTATAAGCTGCTCCACACATACACGCGCGCACACGCACACACACACATATTAGCATTTCTTTAATAGTCCGTTATTTTAAAACAAAATCGTTCTAAGGCTCTGAAGTTTATTTTTCGTTGAGCCAGTAGCGTGAAGTAAAAGGAGGTTATACATTTAGTTTATTTGCAAAATAATCGATTGTTAAATGTGCTCGGCGAAAGATCTTATAGGTGTGATTTTCGTCTCCTTTTTTTGTTTCCTCTTCCTTTCTGCAGTCTTCTCGCTGTGGTTTATTCGATCAATATGTCTCGTGCCTTGATTCGTTCTTAAGAAATTACGATAGCGCCGTTTTTAAATTGATAGAACCGAGGATCGAGTTTCAACGTTTCATAATACTTTGTACTTGTAATGGCGAGCCTCGACTTTGTACGTCTTTTATACCATCTTAAGCGATAAAGATCCCGTGATGTCAAGTCGATAAATATATTTTTAGAGCATCGTGCATATTGATTGATTGAACAGAAGCAGAGCGAGAGAGAGAGAGAGAGAGAGAAACTGCCGAGAAGAAAAGCGAAGAGAATGCAATAGAAAATTTTGGTTATCACTTATAAGGTCTCGCTGGCATGCGGGTTCACCGATCGAGGTGTATTCCTCCCTCTCTCTTCTTACAATAAATAATAATTAGTGCCTTGTGTGATTGGGGGGTGCGGGCGGGGTTTTGTATCATACGACAGTGTGTGTACATTGTGAATGTGAATTAACGCGCGATTCTCGCGCAAGAAGCGTAAATTAGCGACGTGTATTTGTCTCGCGATTTGCCCAAGTCTCTCCGGGAATGTAGTATTTTGTGCCCGCGCCAATACACGCCATTCATATTAGATACTTAAGATTTGCTACTTGTCGACATGGCTGTATTCGCTTTCGAAAACGGTGACACGGTACTTTGTACTTGTTTATGACGCAGCGTATATCCCGTAACAACGAAACAGTGCTTCTTGCGGACACCATTAAATATACAATACCTGCTCAAAGCAGGTATTGTCTATTTGCAATCGTTCTAATGAGAGCCGCCGGACAAAGTAGCTTTCGCGCGTTTCGCCGAGAGGAGGCAAAACGTTAACGCGCAGCATCAGTTTGCGTCACCGGGTGTAAACTTGATCCAACGGGACGTGAAATCTTATACACCTTAAATGTGAAACTGCGATCGTTGCGGGATCCTGCAAGACGAGGACAATAACGATTTTATCCTGCTGCTTTGTCGCACGGCTCGAGTCACCCAGTAAGAAAGTTCGATAGTAACAAATGTCCGAACTCGAACATTCGTCTCATGCGTAGACGCCGGTGTCATCGTCGATCTGAGAGATCGCTAATCAACGGTGCAGCCGCACGGAGAAAACGCATCGGTCGTACGCGCCTCGCGCGTCACCGGCTCCGAGTATCATTTCTTCCCCCTTATCTCGAAGAGTATTAGTCAAGGAGACGTGGTGCGAAAAAAAGAGCGAGCGAGAGGGAGAGAGAGAGAGAGGGGCAAAGCTGTGTAGTTATATGCGCCGAGACGAGAGTGTCTCTCCGAGTTATCACAAACGTATTGTAAATAGTAAAGATAAGTAACTTAAGATAGCGGAAACGCATCGTAATATAGACGACATTTTGTACTACACGCGTAAGGTTCGTATCGTAATTATCGCCTTATGATTCTCCGCGTAGTCGTTATTATTTATATTATACTGTAAGTGAATGTATAAATCTTAATCTCTCCATTATGTAAAGCCAAAAACAACACGTATACACAGACACAATACATACACACACACACACACACACGGGATGATGCATTGTTCATTCACGAGTAAGTTCGTCCGTTTCCCTCCCGCTGCTCATCCGTCTCGCTTTTCCGAGCCGACACGGCTCTCCAGCGACACGCTTTGTTATCGCCGAAGGTTCGTTCTTGAAGAGCCGCGCTATCGCCGTTTTATTGGCCGCGATGAGAGACACATTTGCATCTTGCGCGGTGTGCGTGGGATCCGCCGGAGAGTGGAGAAACGGTTAACGTTACACGAAATACATGAGCACACACGGTGCGTCTGTGGTGTGTATTAAATTCGCGAAATCATAAACTGGGGACCAGCGAGCCGCGTCTATCTTGTGCAGATGAGCTTCAACCGTATGTCCTTGCAACGATGAGCGATCGACCGAGTTATTCTCCTCCGTTATTCCACGTTCCTTGTGCTTCCTTACGACGGAGCGTGAGCGCAAAAAACACGCGACTTTCGGTGGCGGACGCCGGGGAGACTCGGCCGCGCGCCAAGGAAGAGAAACGCTTCCGCTTTGAAATCGTTAGCTCCTAAAGCGCTCGCCGACGCCACGGCCGTCCCTCGAGGGGATACTTTCTCGTCAGCCACCGAATTATTACTTCTCATCTGCGCGCGGCGTCTTCGACGCGGATTTCGTTCGGCGCGTCGCGCGACGTTACGTAAGCGTGCGGATATGTAACGACATCGCGTCGCGGCGCTTAGTTACCGTGCGGCGCGTGTATGCGCCGAACTAATGTGTGTATGTGTGTGTATGCGTGCATGTAACGTTAATACTACTCTCCTGCGTCGCGAATACGCGCGAGTTGAATTTATTGTACGAGTAACATTCGTCATATTAAATCACCACGACGTGCGCACCGATATCAACGGGGACTTTTGAGATACGAGTAACACGAGTCTCACATTTCCTGCAATTTGCATGTTTCAATGTAAGTCTGATCGACGAGAACGGATAATGTGGATGCGAGGATGTATTGTCTTTGTGTAATATATTAAAAAAGAAAAGAAACATTCACGGAGTCAGAATTTGCCATTATCTCTGCGTGATATTTACAAAATTTACGGGGAGTCAAAATTGGTCACTTCTCGATTTTTCAGCCGAACCGTAATGACACGTAGAAAATCGTTGACGGACAAAGAGCAAGGAAAGCAATTCCGAAGCGTAATTTGTTTGAATAGAAACGCTGACTGAAAATATCCCGTTAGTTTCCCGAGTTGTTTATGTTAACGGTGCCGGTAATTGTGTTCCCACCGTCTTGTACGATCGTGATTCGTCAAGTCGTCGAGATGGAGACAGACGGGAGCGACGACACCGCGTTAAACATACGCCCGTGGCGATATAAAGCGAGTGCGCGGCTCTATTTGCGCCCGGATAAGCGTGGAAGCAACTTTGATTACCATTGAAATTAGCGTGCGAAGTTAAGATCGAACAACGGGGCTCGACAAAGACGGTAATGCGGTCGAAATAACTGGCGCAAGATCTCCCTCGGAAATGGGGAACAACAAACACGGTTAACGGCGGATGCACCTCGCACCTTTCTGTTTCTCCGATACAAATTACAAGTTGGAGATCTCGCTCCTATCGGCCGTCTTCGCCCGCACCGAGTATACTCGCCTCCTACTTCCCGTTTCTCCCCGATCTTGATCTTAACTTCTGATTGCGCCGCCAAACAGGAGTTTAAGAACACTCGATGAAAACGGTCCTTCGGAGCAGGTGGATCCGACAGGAGGCAGCAGATCGCGATTTCGGCGTAATTTCACGATCGGTGTTACGCCGCGTTAAAAATGAAGGCGCTGTCGGCGGCTCGGTCGCATATCCGGCCGCGACTTTCTCTCAACTAGGGATGGAAATGACCTAATCTGACGGTAACTTGCTTGGTAAATTACGATAAATTACCCGGTAATTTTGGAAAGCTGGTAAAATGGTAATTTAGATGGAAATTACAGAAAGAATGAAATTTGGATATAAAGCTCGAAAGGAACATTTAGCCTTTAAGATGAATGAAACACTTCGTCTAACTCACATTTTCTACAAAACATTTTAGTTACTTTATGCTGATATATTATATGTAGCGTATAATAATTAGGAAAGTAGATACATAGTCGCTAGAGAAACAAAATCTTTTTTATGGTGGTTATGCACGTATGAGGACAGGCAGAATTTCAGTGATAATAACGCTTGTTTTCAAATGCAGTTTTAACAACTCATATGAAGGAAAGGGCTCGGAATGCGCACATAATAGTTAATCAACTTGCGGCTTTTACGGAAAAGCGCGCCGCGAAAATCATCGCGTGCACTTTTATCGGACACGGGACTGGATAAACGCTCGAAATGCGAAGTTTCAAATTAAAATTCCCTCCGGAGTTCCCTTCGTGCTCGCCAGAATCATTACTAAACAATAAGCCTGTGCAACTCCCGCTGCGGAGAAACTTAATTTAAAACTTCGTATTTGTTATTAATTTGAAACTTCATGCTACGGAAATCGATGGGAGAATTTCGTTCCAAAAAGTACACGGCCGCGCGCACGCTTATTTATTTGATTAAACACACACTTTGTTCACTCGATGCGCGACTTTGGCAGCGTACTTTGTGTTCAAACGGACCGCACACACTACTCTAATCGCGAAACATCGAGACGCACATATATACACGTATACACACGAGCTTCTCGACGACCCACGTGTGTTCTCATTTCGCCGAACGGCGCTGTATATTATTACTAATTTTCTCCGAGCTGCTCGCAGCTCGCGACTTCTCGACGGCCCCCTTAATTAACGCGGACGCGCGCGCGCGCGCCTTCGCACGATATAAAATAAATTCGCGGGACCTCCCATGAATAACGGGAGTTACGCTCGCTGATTAAAATGCCCCGCATTGCTGTTGGGGGTCACGGACGACGAGGCGTCATCGTCGCTTTCCTTCCTGTTTTTTTTTCTTCCTTTTCTTTTCCTTTTTTTTTTCGGCAAGGAGAATGAAAACGTTTGCAACGCGGCAGGCGCGGAAATGTACGCCCCGGCGTTAACGGCGGAGGAGGATGCGGAGCAGGGGTGGCTTTTTTCTCTTTCTCCCTATTTTTTTTTTTTTATTTCGTCAGAACGCGCTGAAAAGGCGAGCGGGAGCGTTTCATTTACGGGACGCGCGCGTGCCGCTTGCCTGCGTGCGTGGACGCAAATATGCAACGAAGCGAATTTACGAGCGAGTAAACAATCCGGCGCGTTGCTCTGGGCTCTCGCACATACGCTGATCGTGCGTATTCCCGAACGTGTCCCGTTACGACTGTCAACTCACCGGAAAATATCAACGTGTCATATTTCTGCCTGTTACTTTTTCCTCTTTTCGTGGGGGGGGNNGGGGGGGGGGGGGGGGTATTCTCTCTCTCAATTTTTTTTATTCCGTCTCCCCACCGACGTGTTCGACCGTTGCAAAAAGGAGTTACCGCTTCGTTAGATCGGGATTACGAGGAAGTTGCGCTATATTATGCGCGGCTGTTTGACGTGTTCTTCGACAAAAAAGGCAACGGACGTTGGAAACTGCGCGATTCGCCGCGTTTCGGATTGTAGAGACACCGGTGTCGTGTCAACGCGTTGATCAACACGGTCGGAAGAGAGGAATCCGCTCGTTTTTCTCGATTTTTTATTTTTTTTTTTTTATTGGCTCCCTCGCGCGAATATAATCGACGCGGCGGGATGCAAACTCGCGCTAACCGACGAAAAAACCGAGCTCGCGCGGGACATCGAGGGGGAGGGTTAGATTAACGAGTGTTATAATGCGTGTCGTTAAAACAATGACTCGGTGTAACATTTGAATCGCGGCTGTTAGGTTCGGTTTCGGCTGCTTTTAATTTCGGCTCGCGCGCTGCCGTCGATTTGCTGATGCGCATGATATCGTAATTAACTAATTACCAACGAAGACACACACACACACACAACGGTGTCTGGCGGAGGCTCGTGATAATTAACTACATTCGATCCGTCAATTATACGATCATATTAGCAAAGTACGACAGATCGCAATTGCGTGTACGCAGGTACCGCAAAGCGCGGTAACTCTGCATAATCGGCGGCCAGATAATGAACACATACGATTCGGCCAATTTGCACCATCGTTACTCCTGCTAATGTTGCAGATTGCCTGTGCGCCTCGTTGTATCGTGAAACGTGGAAACTTCGGGATAGAGCTGCTGCGAGCGAGCAATTCGCGAGTGAACGTTTGCCCTCCGTTTCCGCCGTTAATTGCATTACGTTTACGTAATGCGCGTGTGAAACACCTCCTCTTTTATTTTTTTGAATGTGCAGCATCGTCAACGCGCTACGACGCGCCCCCGGTTGTACTGATCGTGAGCGATAAAATAGTACGAGGCGATTGGCGAAATTCGCGAGGCGCAACTTCTTAAACGCCGGCTAATTTACACCCCCGGGACGTTAAGCGTTGCGCCTTTCGCAGACGCTTTGAGTCGATCGAGGACTACTTGAGTATTATTACTCCAAGTGCCGATTCCGAAGCACCGGGTATCGTCCCACTCGGGTGTCGCCTCTCGAAGGGAACGTCGAAGCGCGAAGAGAGCTTAGATCTCACGGGGAAGATCGAGGGGGTGGAGCACGCGAAATTCCGAGATTCTCAGATGCACGTTCCGTTCGAATGTGTTCCAAGCACCACGATTACTATTCGGAATTGCTGTTTCGCATCAGCTGAAAATCGCGAAAAGATGCAACTTAAATCGGTTAAAACACATTCACCGGCTCCTCGTTTACCAGGTAACTTTCGTTATCGTCGGTTATCTGCCAGCCCGCTTCGAGAAGCTGGAAAGGGGGGGAGGGGGGGCTGTATAGTACGTTTCGTGCGTGTCTCGTTGCGATGTAATTAATTGGGCGACACGCGCGAATCTCTCGCTCGTTCTACACGCAAGACCGTCCGGAGGAACTGCACACGTCCACGTCGACGCGTACACGTATTTTTAGGTCTACGGTGGGGGGCGGGAGGGTGAGAAGGAGAGCACGTTATCAGAAAGGTTAGTAGCGAGACCACAGCGGCTCACATTGATTTTCACAGGGGTTGGGGTTCTTGAAGGCCACAGCTGGAATGGAAGCTGCGGCCTTCAATTCTCGCTCATTCACCGCGCGCGATCTCGATTCTCTCTCTCTCTCTCTCTTTCTTCCGTTCGCGCGCGTTTCTCGCCACTTCACCTTATTTTCCATCCCTCTCGTCCATCCTCGGCCACCGTGTTCCTCTCCTTCCCTTCTTCGCGTTTCTCCGCCTGTTTTCAACCAGTTTTCCGTTTCTCCCTGTCCTTCTTCTCCGCTTTCTCTCTCTCCGATTGCGTTTTTGTCTCTCTCTTCCCTCTCCGTGATAACGCATTAATTTTCCTCAATTTCTCAATTCAAATCAACTGAAAGAAGCGTACGATGTTAAGTCCCACCGAGAACCATTATTCCTTCACGCGCGTGTGCTATCGCGGGAGAGCTCCGACGGTGCGTTTCCCGATGAATTGGGGAATCGCGTTTACGTCGCGTTGCGACTCAATTATGCGCTCTTATTTACAAACGCGTATGGATGTAAATTGACGTTTCAATTAATGCTCGCGATGCGTTTGGAGAGCGGAACACGCCAGCGCGGTTTGATTTATTGATTCGGCACACGATACCAATTGTCACGAAAATGTTATACCGCAGAGGTTGTATGCGTCATATCGCGCCATGTTACACGTTTCATGTAATATTAACTAAATACGCATCGGTTTCCAATTACCCTGGCGTTTGGCAAAGCCGTTTCCCGACTACCGTCGTCGTCGTCGTCCCCGGACCTATGAATCACCCTCGATCGATCGCGGATATATAAATTTTACGCCGACAAGGATGCGTCGAGCCGTCGTCGGTACGAGCGGCTGCAATTAAACGCGTCTTGACGAGGCGAGCTCGAGGATCACGAACGGTCTTATTTCCCCGCTCCTTTCTCCGATCCAATTTTAGCCTCGATATAACTTTCACTCGAGTCGACCATTCAACGGCAAACCTCCC